GCTCGCCATGGTTCTGGCTTGCACTCCCCTCAGCATGGCGGCGTGGGTATACCGTTCCCCATAGCGACCCCTAGAGGACGCAGTTCGAAGTTCCACGAAAGGGAACTTCTCGGGTTACTTATGTAACCATGGTTCCCTGAGGGGAAACGAGACACTGCGTCCTCTAGTTTTTGTGCCATGCTGCGGACACAAGCTTCAGACGAATAAGTGATGATGTGCGCTACCGGCGCCTATTTTGTACTAGTTGCGACGGTAGTGACGTCATGGCTGTCGCCGGGCCAAACAAGTTGGTGTTTTTTCAATGTAGGCTTCAGACACGGGTCACGACGAGGCGTTCCCCATAGCGACCCCTAGAGGACGCAGTGTCTCGTTCCCCTCAGGGAACCATGGTTACATAAGTAACCCGAGACGTTCTGTATAAAATTAAAAATGTATAAAACTGTTGCAAGTTCAATTTCACATTTGCAAACTCCCTTTAAAATCATTAAAAAGCTGTCACTCGTCTTAGTTCATCGCGATCTCACAAACTTCCATTTTAATTAATGAAGCTCTCCACACTACATAATGAATAAACTATTTACATTGTCTCTACACTTCGTTTGTTATAATGAATGACAAACTGCAGTCTGTTTTCACGATCTGTGCTGTGAGGAGCAGGATGCACAGTGATAGAGAAGCATTTCTATTGGCTGCAGTCTACAGGTATTATGGTCAATCACAGAAGACGGCATTGCGGCAGCGAACCATAGACACAAATATATCGCGCTAGGTTTATGTGCAGAACTGGGATCACTTTTGTAGTCTTTTGAATGGATAAAATATAGAAATCACTTTAATTTCCAAATAAACCTAACCAATTGGAAATTAAACGCCTTCACCCCTCGAAACTCCCCGGAACCCACCCCACCCCCCACTTCCACCCCATAATCCATAGCATACGTATATCCCATGCATTCTAACTAGGGCTGGGCAATTTTTTCTTAAATATATACACATGCATGAACTAGGGTTCTGTGTAGCAAATGCCGCTCCATCTGAAAGCACATGCTAGAGATTTACTACTAATCACCAGAAGCGGCTTTACTGATGAGATGCGCATGAAAATCGCATTCGATTTTTTGCACAGCCCTAATTCTAACATATACTTTCTTGACATAAAACACTACTGAGCAATTGATAATTTTTTTTTTTTACATTAACATAATTGATTGCATTTAAGCTACCATCATTTTGACCGGAGTAAACCCTTGATAGTGAACAAGCATGCTCTTTGGAAGTTTCTGTTGTCTTCAGACTGACCGGTCATGCCTCTGTCCTGTGTGGTTTCATCAGGAGGGGCTGCGCTGCTCGAGGTGGGGGGCGGAGGGGCTTTCCGCTTGGTGGATTTCTTGAAGGACGACTCTGTCGAGGATCCCCGGCTTAAAGGGGCCATATTCTGTGGAAAGCAGGCAGGGGGACAGTAATAAATATGACATATAATTCCAAATATTTGGCTGTGGGAAACGTAACCACATTCCCTAATGACAAGGTGATGAAATGACTCAACCCAGCGCCGAGTTTATGTAGAAACAAAACAAATACTGTGAAAGCAAGGTTTAACCGCCCATTGTATTTGCAGAGTGCCATTTATACGTAAATTCAGACATGGTCTTTGAACTCAGGTCATGAAATAACAGGTTACAAAGTCTTGTTTGTTTTGTTTTTTCTTTAAAAGACTTCCACGACAACGAAGGCTCGCTTACAGTGGCTTCAAAGAGTGTTTGGAGACTTTAACCACACTTATTGTCTGAATGTCACTGCATTTGTTTTATTTCCTATAGTTGTTTTATATAAAATAAAATAAAATAAAATAAAATAAAATAAAATAAAATAAAATAAAATAAAATAAAATAAAATAAAATAAAATAAAATAAAATAAAATAAAATAAAATAAAATAAAATAAAATAAAATAAAATAAAATAAAATAAAATAAAATAAAATAAAATAAAATAAAATAAAATAAAATAAAATAATATAAAATAAAATAAAATAAAATAAAATAAAATAAAATAAAATAAAATATTAGTTTGTCTGTTTGTTATTTTTAAATTCAAGATATAATTAAGGCTCACTTACATTGGCACCGAAGAGTGTTCCTAAACCTAAACCACACTTACACATGTCTGAATGAAATGCCTGCATCACTTTGAGAAGAACTAACTTCAAACAACCACTAAAAATCACCAAGCACCTGCTGATTAAAGGTCATTAAGCTAAATGTTGAAGAAAAGTGATGTTAGTGAACAACGCATGTTTTTATCACTTCAATCTACCAAACAACTTTTTTATTAAATATTTTGTTAGAAGTATTTGTGCTGTCTTTCTTGCTTTTACTTTGATATTTTGTATGCAATGCAAATGACCTTCAGCCATTTTTAGTGCAGTTGAAGTGTCCAATGTCTTCACAGATTTTGGAAAACTGTTTGGAAAACAGCATCCTTATTTTATGCAAAACTCTATTCTTTGCTTTCTTATGATCCAAAAACGTATTTACATGAAAGAAATCCCAGATTTTCACTGTGCTCTTTGGACCCCAGTGCATGTTCGTGGCAAGTTAGTAAATATTAACTGAATCCCAGAACAGCGCTACATACCTGGTTGCCATCGGGATGCACAGGGGTTTGATGACCGAGGTCAGTAGGCATGCTCTGTGACATCATGTTCGGCGGCAACGGGGCTCGTCTTTTCTTTGGCATGTCGGAGGGCATGGTGTTGGAATCATATGTAATGGGCGAATGCGCGCTGAAGGAACTCATGCTAACCGGCCTCTGCTTCCTGTGCACTGGAGATGCCGGTGCGCTCACGGTCATAGACTTTAACGACAGACAGCCAATCACAAGTCAGCACACTCCCAACCAGTGCCATCAACGAGCCAATCATGAGTAAGTCTTTAACCATTTGCATAAAACAAATATGACCAGGGAATGTTTACAAAGAAGTGAAAACACACATGCCTTTAACCTTATCCTAACATCACCAGAAAATCTCAAAGCATGTAATCGTTCTCTTTTATAGACATACAGGGTTTCATAACTCACCTGTTCGGATTGCTTCTTACTTCCTTTACGAAATAAGCTGAATCGCCTCTTTTCTTTCTCCTTCTGGATTTTCTCTTTCCCATGATGAAATATTTCTGTGATTCAATGCAAGTTCAGTTAGTTTAGTTTTGTTAGACATCCTTAACTTCTTATTTAAAAGGACGTTCATGCAAAAATGAATAAAATTGTAAGAAAATTCAATTTTAAGCTAAAATTATAGTTTTTTTGTAAATAATGTCATAAATTTCAAATAAATAAACAAAATAATAATTATAATTATTATTTGTTTTTTATTTATTTATTTGAGTTATGTCACTATTTTTACTATTACTATTATTATTCTTATTTGTTTTTTATTTATTTTTGAAAGCTATGTCACTATTTTTGCTATTATTATTATTATTACTATTATTTTTTATTATTATTGTTTAATTTACTATTATTTTTATTATTATTGTTATTTAGAGCCTTTCCTGAGCTCAAGGACGTGTCATAATAAAAAACAATAACATGACAAGCATATCGATAATGGACATTTGCCTAGTCTACAACAAAAGCCAATGAAGTTGCATGTACAAGTTATATTAAACTGTGCAAAAAAGCTGATTATTTTTCCTATAAAATGAAAAATGTGGTGCTTTTAACATCACTTACCTGAGTGAGTTGGAGATGGAGGCAGACTTACTGGACTAATAGGACTTACAGGGCTAATAACTGCAAGAAAAAAGAAAATCACAAACCCAAGAGTACAGTATAACGAGAATGTTTTGAAGAGTATCTCAATGTGACCTTATGAAAACCGGTCCAGCATGATTTCATAGGAGTCATTTTAATGTTCTTAGCATAAACACACAGTGGGTTCTGACCTTTGGTGTCTCTCGCATACACTTCCCTCAGGCCAAAATCATTGAGGGAGCCGCTCAGGTCCAAAGTGTCTTCTGAGTGGACATTTGGTAATAAAACCGTGGTCTGCGGGTCGAATTCACATTTCTCGCAGATCGCCGGAAGCAGTTGTAGTAGAGGAACCCGAGGACTAACCCGGAGAATGGTTTTCTGGGTTTTCTTGTAGTTGATTACTAATCGTACGGTTGCCTGAAAGAGACAAGAGAAGGAAAGTAAAGAGTACAGCAGGATTTTGTGCTATTCCGTTTCAAAAACTCATGCGATGCCTATGCCTGTGTTGATTGTGCCATCTTCTATGACAACTCATTTTGGATAAATCCCATAATTCAACATCCTTAGTGAAGAGGACATTCGAAGGGTGCACTTCCAAGTTATAACCGCGTTTTTAAAATAAACTTTAAAAAAGCTGAAATAAGTTATTATATATATATATATATATATATATATACACACATACATATACACACACACACACACACTTTTTCTTAAATATATACATGCATGTGTTTGTCTGTGTATAAGCAATGTACACAGTATACACACATTACTGTATGTAAACAAAAACATACATACATACATACATACATAGTAAGATAGTTTATTTTAGTGCTTCATCTATCAAAATCTATTAAAAATGACAAAGGCACATAACATGCTTATGCCAAACTCTACTACAATTAACTTTGGTCAAATCTCCAGTGCACTACACATGAGAAGCAGTATTTGTATAATGCCATTTCAGTAGGACACTGCCCTATGTGACAGTCGATGGCAGGACGGGTTTGAAACACAGCTGTTATGTGCAGTTATGCTTTTTATTTGGTGTAATGTGATATTGTTTGTTGTTCGTTATGATGTGGATTGTTAGCATGGTACAGCCATGCTCCGCTGCTTTGAGTCATCTAGATATACTTCAGGCTCATCTCACAGGGTGTGGAAGAGTAGATATGCTTTTACTCATGACTAAACGATCAAACATGAACATGAAAATGGCACAACACTTAAGATTTACAGAAACTTTTCAGGTTGATGTCAGCATCCAAATGGATCATATTTACCTTCTAAATACACATTTTTAGTTCAGAATAACACACTAATAAAATATTTTTACTAATGCTAAAGTATTTAGTGTGTAGTGTGCACAATATGCAAATTTTATGCTTGTATTTTCTGTAAATATATATTAATATTAATTTATTTAAATAATTATAATGATGATAAAATAGTTTTACTGTTGCTGAAGTACAAAGTATGTGTACTGTGCACAACACTTATTCTTTTATTTTCTGTAAATATTCATTTCTTAAAATAATAATAATATATTGTTTATATTTGTTCATTTCTTAAAAAAAATTATAATACCATTGCTGAAATATATAGTACGTGTACAGTGCACAATTTTATTTTTGTATTTTTCTGTAAATATTTTTTATATTTATTAATTTCTTTAAATAATAATAATAATTATTATATTTTTACAATTGCTGAAATATATAGTATGTGTACTGTACACAATTTTATTTTTGTATTTTCAGTATTTTTACAGTATTGTATTTTTATTTTTAAAACTACTACTACTACTACTAATAATTACTAGTGCTTGTGTACAACGCAATATATTCTATTTTCAGTAAATTGCTTTTTTTATATGTATTTCTTAATATTTTTTATGCTGCTAAAGTATATACTGTGTAAGTATATAAGCTTGTATTTTCTGTAATGTGCAATATACAAGATTGCACACTTATGATTTCATGATAGATTAACTTTTTGTGATGGATGAACTAGATTTTGTAATATTAACCGTTATATTCCTGTTTATTACTGTGAAGATGTGTTGATACAATCGGTGTTGTGTAAAGAGCTACATAAATAAATGTGACTTGGCTATGTTGAATTCATATTTAAATTAATTGTACATGAGAATACCTCAGGCATCTGTGGTCCTGTCTTTTTGCTTTTGTCCTCCATGCCTTTCGGTTTCAGCAGGATCTTCTCAGCCTCTAGCGCTCCGATGAGGGCGCTGGGTTTGAACTTCACATGGTTTCTGTTGGTGGTGATGAGCTCTATGGTGTGGCCAGACGGGTTCAGGTGGTACTTCGCACAAAGCATGACCAGCAGGTCCATCATGGGCTTGCTGAAAAACACAAAAAAGCAGAAGTGAATATCAGTTCTATATTCAAGCGCTTTGCCCATCTCATTTTGTGTGTCAGAAGAAATAAAATCAACAAAAATGAGTAAATGATGACAAAAATGCCATTTCCGGGTGTACTTTTCCTTTAGGAAACAAGCATCTGATCTGTGAAATATCTTTTCCATTATATTTTGTTGAGTCAAAGCCCCAGGAAACATGTGACTCTGCTGTGGGGAGTTTGCAAATGTCAAAGTTAACGACACAAGCTATGCTATCTGTGAAGCATTTAGGATTTGCATAAATGATATTTTGCTGCAGGGGTTTCCAATGCATGTCAACGGTTTTTCACTTGATTGTTTTTCAAGTGTTCACGACAACAATGATACAGTATGAACACAAAAGGGGAATTCAGAAGAATCTGTGCATGCCTTTCTTCCCTGTAACAAAATTCCTTTAGTTTTCCATGGAAAAGCAGACTGGTTTGCTGTAAATAATGACTTATAATTTTTACATGAAATATTGCCTTCATATTGCATTAAGTTTGAACCACAAAGTATGAAAGAACAATAAGGATCATGTCCAATGTGGTTTCTTATCCAATGACTCCCACAGGCTTCAGAGAAAACCACGTCCTATACGCTTGACACATTGCACACTGAAAGTGTGGAAAATCCTTTCGAGACAGATTATGACACAAAGCTTTCCAGCTGCTTTTGGAATTCTTGGATCTGCGAAGCCTTTGGAAACACAGAGCCAATCATTTAATCCGGATTAGTAGGAGACCAGCGAGTTTGGGTGGCACAAATTTAGAAAAGCAGGTGAAGAATTTGATTATTAATCCTTCTATACTGAATTTGGTTTTGGTTTTAGCATGAAGGGGGCAGGAAAATCAGGTTTCATTTACAGGTGTTCAGGATCAAAGAACAGAATAAAACTATGATTAAATGGCGATGACAGAAATCTGAGATCAGGTTTGTGCCAGGGAAAATACATTTTACTCTACCAACCCAATGTCAAAGCACAACCATGCAGTCCAATTTACAAAAGAAAAATATTTATTTTTATGATCAAATAAAATAAAATATAAAATGAATTATTTTATTCCATTTATTTTTATAGACTACTACTACTACTATTAAAAATATCAATGTAATATCATTATTATTATTATTATGTAGTAGTAGTAGTAGTAAACATTAAAATATAAATTGTTCAATTTAATAATATAATATATTAATATTAATAAATTATTTACTAGCACTAGTACTACTACTAATAATAATAATAGCAATATAGTAGTAGAATAATAGTAAATGTAGTAATTTATTATTATGATTATTATTATTATGTAGTTGATAAATTTAATACAATAATATATTATTATTTACTAGCACTAGTATAATAATAGGAATATAGTAGTAGAAGTGATAATAATAATAATATTAAATAAATATATAGTAATGTATTGCTATTATTATTATTATTTTGTAGTTGATAAATTTAATACAATAATATATTATTATTTACTAGCACTAGTATAATAATAGGAATATAGTAGTAGAAGTGATAATAATAATAATATTAAATAAATATATAGTAATGTATTGCTATTATTATTATTATTTTGTAGTTGATAAATTTAATACAATAATATATTATTATTTACTAGCACTAGTATAATAATAATAATAATAGGAATATAGTAGTAGTAGTAGAAGTGATAATATTAAATAAATATATATAGTAATGTATTGCTATTATTATTATTATATTAATATAATCAATAACATGATTATAATTCATTTATTTTATATATTAATGATAATCTTTAATAATAATTATTATTATTACTACTACATAAAAATAATTACAATAATATATATTATACTATAATATTTATAAATGCATAATAATAATAATAATAATGACAACAATAATAATACATTTATTATTATAATTATCATCCTCAATTTATTATTATTATTATGAGTTGTTACCAATCTATAGCACAGGTAAGCTGAAAATCAAATTAAATTATATTTATTATTTAATTATTATATCATTTTATTATATTTGTTATTTTATATTTTACATATTTAAATATATTTTAAAATAGTGGACTGCTAAAATTGTATAATTTTCTGTTGTTCAATATTAGACAATTATTATAATTATCATATTATTATTATTATTATTATTATGAGTTGTTACCAATCTATAGCACAGGTAAGCTGTTCTACCTGCATGGCTTTTCACCCTGGTGCACCTCCTCTGGTGCCATTAGGTCAGCTGCAGGGTCGTCAGCTGGTTGCCGCCATTCACCGATGTTTCGTCCCCTATACCAGTACATCTCCCGCCGGGGGGGCAGTGGCATATTAGGGACGTCTCCCTGCCACCCCTGCAGCTGCCTTAATCGTGGTGTTAGCCCCCAGCCACTCTCCTTCCTTTGGAGCCACAGCCAATAGCTGGCTTTCTCTGCCTCTTCCTCCAACTCCTTCACAGCCTTCCGCAGGTTTGCCCCCACCACGCCAGACTCACAGAGTACTTGCACCATTGCTCTACTGACAAAGCCCCTGCATCAGACCTCCACGGGGTAAACTTTAGCGTTCCAGCCTGCCTCCTGGCACTCTGCTGCCAACTCGGAATACTTTAGATGTTTCCTTTCATGGGCTGCTGTGATGTTTTCTTCCGACGGGATATTCAGCTCAATGATGAAGACTCTCTTATCCTCAGCTGACCATATGACAATGTCTGGCCGGAGGGTAGTTGTGGTTATTACACAATGACTTGAAGGATATGTGTATTCAATCAAAGAAAGGTTTTCCTATGAATTAATTAGAGAACAGTCCATTTCTCTGGGCATTTTGTGTCTTTCTTATGAGGAAAATGAGGGAGTTTGTCTGCCTGCATTCCTTTAGGCCATAAAACCAGTGATATCAGCATTGGTTACCATGGAACCAGAGGCCTGTTCTGCCTTTCTGAGGTGTTAGGTGCATTTCGGGGGAAGGGTCCATAGACCCTCGTAATTGGCCATTTGGTTAGGTGAGGGGGAGTTAGATATTATTTGTTAAATATAACAAAAAGTTGTGTGTCTGATTGGTCCAAATGCTACATTTCTCTTGGGAAGACCAGCTGCTTCTTGAGGTCCACCAACATTTGCCAATCCCTCCCGGGATTGAGGAAGGTGTTTCTTTTTGCCGATACCCGGTGGATGTCACCTGGTCTGAGTCTCGGGCATGTGGTTTGCTGCTACCCTACCCCTCTCCAGGATTCAGCCAGCTTGGCCAGGACTTGGTCATGCCGCCACCTGAATCGTCCCTGTGTCAATGCAACCTTGCATCCCGAGAGGATATGCTGCAGGCTTGCCCTGGTGATAGCACATAGGGATCAGCCAACCTCGTCCCCAAACCACCGGGTGAGGTTTAAGGAGCATGGGAGGGTATCATATACCGCCCTTATCTGAATTCTGGCTTGTGGAGTTCTCTAGATGTCTGCCCAGCTGATGCGCATTTTCACTGTAATTTATATTTTGCGATTATTGCAAGGGGGTAATGCAGAACTGGAGCAAAATATGAAGTACTGTAATGCTATTTGGCAGATCATTAAATAAATCCCAATTCAAAAACGCCTTTCTGGCACACCTTTAACAGTTGAGATGAAGTGTTGAGGACAGAAAACGCCCGAAACTAAGCATGGCACAGAGAGTACAGCAGGCCATTTGAGCAAATGATCCAACTGTTGAAATCGATCAAAGTGTTTAATGATAATCACGAACAGTGTACAGAGATGCCGGATTACTCTAACGTCATCTCATTCCTTGTACCCAAACCAGGCCCGATTTGTTGCAGGATCTTTGAGAAACACACTGCCCCACCCAGCTGACTCACCGCATCAATCTTCTGAGCAGCTTCATGATCTCATATACAGCTCAGCTCAGAGATTAACGCCTTCCTTGCAGAAGTGTAGAAAAGTCATTAAATATAAAAGTTCTGTAAAATTGAGAATTCTTGTATTAAGTTACTATAATCTTTCATAATGGTTCAGGTTGTTAGGACTACAGATATGAACAGCTGCGAGTAAACCAGTGTTTTTATGCACTCATGCGCAAACGGTAATGTTTGCAATGTTTATTCTGTCCTGCCAAACATGCACCATGTTCAAAATAGTTTTAAGGCAACAGGATTACATCATCATAAACCCTCTGAACAGTGCTATTTGAGTAAAGTAAAGGACTAGATTTATAAGATCAGAAGAGATGATATGTGAGCAGTCGTCGTTTGTTAAGGCACACACAATGTTAATATTGCCACAGTGTTTTTGGCATTGTGTCCTAATAAAAAGTTCTGCAAAAGCCACAAATGCCAAGGCTTGTGTCTAAAGATTTGCCAACAAATTCCTCAAGCACATCTGTATATTCTGATTTGTTTTCATTGCTATTTGTCTAAAATATTTACCAATTATTAATTCAAGATGGAGAGAAACTCCAATGTCAAGTGAAGTAAACACACACAGTTTCTAGGAGTGGAACGGATCAACTTACTCACGGTTCGGTTTGTATCACGGTTTCGGTACGGTTCGGTACGTGCTATGTTTAGGGAAAAACTATACTGTCAGATAAAAATAAAGAAAATAAGAATAAATCTAACTACAAGCAACAGCACAAATAAATACAACAGATTAAAGATACAAATAAAATAAACAGTGATTTTCAGTTTTTTTTTTTTTAGGTAGGTCTAACATTAGTTTAGGTACAGAAATTGAATAAAGTAATGAAATGTAAAACAGTATTGCATATTTGACTGTATAAATTAAAGATTAATCGTTATTAAAGTTACAAAAGCTATTAAATCAAGAGCAGTGAGTGATTTTTGTTGTTGTTGCTGTTTGATTAATATTAAGAAAGTGCTGTCACTTTAAGAGAATGCACTGATCCAGTGCACTGATACTGTACGTTCAGCCGGTCTAGGTCTGCTATAGGATACTTACCAAGACGGGCATTTTGACAATTTTTGTGTGAATTTGTCCATTTAAACAATACTTCAGAGAGAGCTTAATATTTGCACGTGTTCTGAGGCACGGGTTTGCGCGCTTCGGATGAGCGCACGCATGCACAAATCTTCTCACTGCGTGCGCAAGCTCGCGTCCTCTGGCTCTTAAATGTTTAAACTGGTAAAGCTTAAATGAGTTTAGTTTAAACACAGATATCAACGTGTGCTGATCAGGTCTCACCTGTGCATGCGCGCTATCAGCCCCCGTGTGATGACGGAATAAATGCTTATATTCCAGCATACAGCACTTGCTTTGAACAAGAGTGAATGGTTTGTCCACATTTGTTTTTCATCGCTGTTGTTGTAGTAATGTACTGGTAAGCCAGAATGCGCATCCATCAACAGTAACATATATTAGCCGAACCCTGTTTGTTTTACGTGTTATTTATAGCAAACCATATTACAGATGCGTTGTCAGATTGAAGTTGAACCGCGGTCCTAGCAGTTTTTCGAACGAACCGTTCCACCCCTAACAGTTTCTACTATTTTTTCAGTGTTGTCTGCAGAGAACAATGCTGCGCTGTTTATTAGTTATATTCATTTATGCTTAAAAATAATATCGTTACAAACATACACGCATATATTAAAAGAACTACGGAGCAGTAAATGGGTGCAATCTTTTGAAAATTTGCTGCCAATGAGTGACAGTGTTGTTGTTGATAACCAAAACAATAAAAAAAATTTAAAAAGCTCAATTAAATGAAATAAAAATATTAGATTAAAAACTTACTAAAAATCACTGAAGCTAAAACTGAAATAAAAAAAGTCAAACAAACATTTAAATTAGGGCTGTCAAGTTGATTAACCTTTCCAAAATAAAAGGTTGTGTTTAAATAATGTGTGTGAGTACAGTGTATATTAACAAATTATTTATAAATGCTCCTGTGTGCTTCTGTGTAAGCGCTCAGTGAAGAGCGTGAAGCAATGATACTTGTAGCCAATCACAGTCATATCTGTTGAGCGCATGAACACAATGGCCAATCAGAATCCGACTGGTACTGAAGTTGGTACTTTTGAAAACACTAATATACTACGTAAACACAAACTTATTTTGGATGTGATTAATTGCAATTAATCAATTTGATAGCACTAATTTAAAACAACAAAAATTAATGAAAATATTAAAAGTACAAAATAAAATGAAATAATCAAAAATAAATAAAAACATAAAAATAAATAAATCTAAACAAAGTATATAAATAACACCAAAATAACAGAAACGGATCAGTTAGCAAATGAGGAGAAAGTAGCTTGAATCTACTTAAAATGCATAGGAACATTTTTGTACTATAGTTATTTATGAATTTACGGTCTAAAAAATAAAGGCCCACAGGAACCACAACTACAAAGTTAAATTGCTTTGACATAACTTCTCTTTAAACATAAGAAACAGCGGGATCTTTACTAAGTTGTCTGCATACCAACCACTCCAGCAGTTTACATGTCCAGCTCTACATAAAACACAACCAACAGACCCCTCACCTGCCATGGACGACCGTGGTCTTCTCCACCCCTTCAGGAAGGACCACGGTGAGAGTCAGGTCCTGCTCCAGCAGGTTCTCCTTCTGCTCCATGGCTGGGTGAAGGTACGCTGGGAGCTTGTGGCTCAGCAGTGGAGCATCCAGGCCTTTCAGGACAGGAGGAGGAGGTGGTGCTTTGCTTTTCGATGATCTCCTGTTAAACAAGGACAAAACAGGTTTAAAATATGAACGGATCATCTCTTATAGTAAGAGTAATGCTCTATGGATTTGAGCTCTTTTCCTGTCAGCAATTTTTTTTTTTTAAAGTTACCAGCCATAACCAGCATTTTTCAGCATTTTCACAAAAATGTCATGGCCCCTAGAATATTTTGTTGTATGAATATCTGAACATGCAATATGTCTACAGAAAGAACAGGGAATCTGCTTTTTAACAAGAAAACATTTTATTCTAGCTTCATGCATAATTTTTTTAATAAACACCTGAATGTCAGAAAGGTTCATAAAACAGCAACATTCTGAACAAAAAAACAAACAAAAAAAATTGCATTTTTGTCAAAGACTATGTCTGGATCGGATTCGGAGCAATTATCAAAACAGAGTAGATTGCTTCATCAATACCCCCAAAGATTGCACAGTCCTAAATCACTTCCTGGGTCAACATTTCATCCTGTAACTTTAGGCAGTTATAATGCTTATTGCTTGAACACCACATTAGTTTACATAAACCTCTGCTTGCATACGAGATTGCTTGATTCTACATCTTTGATCCAGACATTCAGTACTCTTTCAGAAGATGCATATAACAGTGACAACCTGAAAAGTTGAAACAATTCTGTCAATGGCAGGAAAGCGTCTCATAAATTACGGAAAATTCCGTTAATGGAGGGGAAAGAGTTAAAACGTCAGCAAAATTAACAGCAAGTTTGTAACAACATACAGGTGAGCAAAAATCTCACATTTTCATATTTAGGTGTACTATCCCTTTAAATATGGGCCTATTTTTCTCAAAAACAATGAGATAATGGATATTTTCAATTTAAAGGTGGTCTAAGCGATTTTTCAAAAACGCTTTAGAAAACTGATTCGGGCAGAGTAGCAAAACAAACTTGTAACCAATCAGCAGTAAGGGGCGTGTCTACTCATGATGTGGAGGAGAGAGCGTTCAGTGCACAGGACGGATATTAGCGAGCCGAGCAACAGAAAGATAGAGATGGCGGATAAAAAAAACAAAAGAGGAAAACGTCTGTCGGAAGTAGGACCTGTGTAAATATCGAATCAGCTTTCCAGCGCTGGAGAGAACTGAAGGAGTGGAAGGCCTGCGAACGCACGCCGAGGTTGCTTTGTTTCTTCTCGATAGGTGAGTAACACCGTGTCTGCGCCGCAACCGCTAAAGTCTGTCTAGTACACTGGACGCGACAAAGCGACCGTTGAAAATCATTTGAAATTTGTGTCAATACGTCATAAATAGAATGCAGCAGCAGTTTTCTGTCGGGGATTTGTCGTGTTGTGCAGCATCCAGTGTAGACAGCATCACTGATTATAACGAGTTCTATAGTATTTTGTCGCGCCGCACCACTCGAGTCCCGTGTAGACACGGTGTAACATTGGTTTTGCTTTGTTTCACAGAACTAATCGTTGCCTGGGTTGCGTACGTATGTATGGGGCGGAGCTATCAAAATAAGGGTGAGACCCTTTTGGGGTAGGGGCGTGTTTCTTTTGGTGATTTCAAATGTCAACATTGGCTACCAGAAATCGCTTACCCCACCTTTAAATATTAGAGTAAACCTTGAAATAATACAAATGTTGTCATATTCTGCTGTTGATGTTGATAAAATTTAATCTTGACAAACAGATCTGCAGGATTTTTCCCCATTCAAGAACATACTAGCTTTAGCGAATGTAGAAAATAGCTGCTTGGGGGTAGACAAGTGATCAGACATGACTTTACACACACTGTTACTCAATCTCACCTGATGTGCTCAAACATCTGCTCTAAAACAGACCACACTAAATCATCTGTCTGTTTACACACATTTTGATTGCTTGGTGTGAACCAGAGTTCAATTGCATCAACTTGCTGCACAGATCTGTTTTCACACTGTATTATTTGCCTCAGAACAGCTGTTTGCTTAAACAATTTTAACTGTAAATGAAAAACGAGCAGCTTTAGTTTTCAGGGAAATGCAGTAATTGCACTGAAAACGTTGCACGATGATGCCTGAAAGACATTAATTCTTCTCCACTCAAATAAGCAGCCATTTAATAAGAGAGCTTGGATGCACTTTACACACAAGTCACAAGACACTGGAGTGATGTGATTCATTCATTCCAGCGGACTAGGATGAAGCCGAGGAGGAGGAGCATTTTGAATGCAGCAAGTGTTGAGAAACAAAGTCACCATCTCAGTTTTGAGGCTGACTGCCATCACAGTTTCTGCCACGGTCTCTCTTTGAGGTCCATTAGTAATTAGTAAAAGTGTCAATTTAGTGACCATTTTTCACACTATGTCTGATCCACGAGCCAGAAACATTGTGCACAACTTCACAAACCCAGGCGCTATGCGCAGTCAATATAGCAAAAACACGGTCCTGTTGAACACACTACATTTAGAGAAAACTGACCATAGAATCATGACTGTAAACATTAATGCATGCTATATAGCACAATACCACGAATGCAACTTGCACTGCATTATAATTTGTGGTCTGACACATTTTGGAACACAATGTAATAGCAGTGTGCATTTGCATGCATGTGATTGCATACAGTACATTTCAGGCTTTTAAACAAGCTGATTTTAGCTACTGTGACGAAGACTTCTATGTAAAAACCCTCTTTGCATGGGAAATAACACTCAAACAAGGCCTGCAGGTCTGCGATCACATCCAATAGTTTTTAACCCCATCCTTCAACAACAGCACATACAAAAATTAAAAAAAATATGTTATTTTTAGGGGTACAACAGCTTGTCAATAGGGCAGTACCCTTAAAATGACAACTTTATACCATATCTACTTAACTTAACAATATGTCTTCTTAAAGGAATAGTTCACTCAAAAATGAAAATTATCCAAGTTTTCCATCCAAGATGCAGATGAGTTGGTTTCTTCATCAGAGCAGATTTTTAGAAATGTAGCATTCCAATCACTTGCTCACCAATGGATCCTCTTCTCACTTCACAAGACACTTAAATCGACTTTGATGGACTGGAGTGGCAGGGCTCCAAACTAAAAAAATCGAGTAAGGAGCCATTGGCTCCTATAAGAAAAAATGTCAAGCGCCAAATTATTTTTTTAGGTGCCACAGAATAAACGTGTTTGATTTATTTTTTTATTATTTTTTAACATTCCAATCATAATTTCATGTGCTTATGTGTCATCTTTTCTTGAATTTATCAGCATTTTAATCGATCTTGTAGATGACCTGGGAACTAAGGTTCACTTAAAGTGGGAACTAAACGTCTTTTCCAACTTGAAATATATAGGTCACAAAGAATTGTTCATGACACAGAATCTGTACAAATATCATGGACCATAACAAGCACTTGGCCACTGAGTGTAGATTAGGCTCCTCCTCAATGCATCCTATAAGTGTTGTCATATGTCTTTCACACATTCAGTCTGTTTTTCTTCATTAGTAAAATGCAATTTTATAGGTTGAATCATGTAGATAACAGGTTAAGTAAAAATATTAACATCCAATAGCGCATAAATATAGCAAAATGCTCTTCTTTATAGTTATATTTCTAGCTGACTGATGAGCTTATGGACACCGAATGGTTATTCTGAGGTAAATGTATAATTAGGTTGCAATTAGTGCTGGGCGATATGACCAAAAATTTGTCTCAGTATTTTTCAAAATTATACCGGTTTCACGGTACATGACGGTATTTTTTTTTTCATGCATAACCGGGTGTTAACCATATTTTTTACTGATTGAGAGAGGAAATACTGCAGTATATTGACTTAGAATGCTCTATTTTACTGTCATGATGAATGAATATTGTCAAAAAAAAATACCACACTAAATAGTGACTAAACACGACCACTTTTAATACGTTAACCAGGAGTCACTCTCATTTATAATCGTGGCATCGTCTGATAAAATCAACATGCATCTACACTAAAGATGCATGTAACTATGCAGTTGTTTTGGCTAGATTACTTTGTCTCATGCAGCGCACTGCCTGCGTCGGAGTAACAAACTAAAAAAAACAAAGTGCATGTGATATTAACAGACGAACTACGCTCATATTTATAATTCCAAACAATCAGTAAGCGACAGGTGTATAATAAAGAGCCAGGAATTTTACTCTTGATTAATTTCTCTATTGTTTAAGAACAATATCTATTCTAATTCCTACGCATTACCTCACCATGACTGTACTGTACGTGCCAAATTAGGTCAATGACGTGTAAATGTGGTGATGTGTGGCCACCTCAAACCAACATTTCTGATTTCAAATCTTGTTTTTTTTTTGCAGCTTAAATTGATTGACTCCTTTTTGGACTGTGAGGAAAAAGATCGAGGAACAGTTGATTCCTCATATGACATGACCTCTTTAAATCTTATTAGTTTTTTAGGCTAGCACTACACAACGCTGTCCAAAAACGTTGCTCAATGTGGTCATTTTTAGGTTACAGGGCATTGAACACATCAAGCCGTATTACACCATATGAAGCTGAAGGGTTTGTTTGAATGTCAAATTAATCCAAATATGATGACTCCAGAGGGATGATAAAATTACTGAACATTCTGTTCAGCAGCACAACTGTGCATTTAGAAGTGGGCATCAAAGACACAATAAATGCCAAGCAACCATCTGCTGAAGTACTAACAGAGTTCACAAATGTCTCTCAGCAGATAATATTTTATATCAATTACCTTTTTTTTTTTTGACATACAAGATTCCCAAAGGATGGTCAGGAATAGTCCAGGCCTTAGGAGCAGAGCGTAAACATTACGCAGGAAGTTGGGAAAGCCCCTGAAATTTGTCCATTAGCATAGCGTGTTATGTTTGAGGTGGCTACGGCAGGCCAAAGTAAACACAGGGGTTTCTGACATGGTAAGCAGACACACTCATGACTTTCAAAACAGACGTTTCAAATAGCAAACGTCTCATTAGTGTCAACCAAAGTGCACATCAACCTACATCTAAAGATTTATTTGTATAAATGGCAAAATGTTTCTCTT